GCTAGCACTGTAGGCGGAGGCTTAACTTTCTGTGCCACAACAAGGACCCCAGGTCATTTTTTCATTCAGTTATTGTTTATAGCCACTGTCTGTATTTCCAGTAAAGTAAGATCTTTTTGCTTTTCACCTGTTAAACTTCCTATTCATTGAAGTATTAAGCCTAATTTTTACTGTGATATAAAATTTTTTAAAAATTATCTGGCATTTTATTGTCCTACATTTCACATTGCATTTTCCACTTGTAATGTGAATTTAAAATGTTATCTCAAAAACTAAAAAAAATAAAATAAAAAAAAATGGGGCCGGTGCTGTGGGACAGGAGGTTAAAGCCCTGGCTGGCAGCACCAGAATCCCATATGGGCACTGGTTCAAGTCCTGGCTGCTCCACTTCTGATCCAGCTCTCTGCTATGGCCTGGGAAAGCAGCAGAAGATGGCCAAAATCCTTGGGCCCCTGCACCTGCATGGGAGACCTAGAAGAAGCTCCAGGCTCCTGGCTTAGGATCAGCTCAGCTCCAGTGGTTGTTGCCATTTGGGGAGTGAACCAGCGAATGGAAGACCTCTCTCTCTCTGTCTCTCTCTGGCTCTACATCTCTCTGTTAACTCTTTCAAATAAATAAATAAATATTAAAAAAAAAAAAACCAAAAAAACAAAAAGAAGAAAAAAGGCAGAAAGCAAAGGAGAAGGAAGGAGGGTAGAAGTGATAGAGGAGGACAGTGGAGAGATGGAGGAGGGAAATATTTTTATGTTCTTAGAATTGTATATACAAGTTACAACGAATGCTAAAAAACTAATTAAAATTTAAATTAAATTAAAAATGCATCATCAGTTTTCATGGATACATTTTACCTATTACAGGTACTTGGCAGTGCTATCCTAGATTAGAGGAAAAAGACAGAAGCTGTGTGAGGTACACAGTTCATTTTGCATTTATAGTAAAAACAATTTAAGCAGAAGTAATATGTCCCATTTTCAGAAGAGGTAAAAGTACTTGGTTTTTAGCTATGGCTAAGTTTAAAGTCCCTAAAAACAATGAAGAATATTTTTGTGTTAGATAATGGAGAAATGACTAGGGTTATACTTAATTATGATTTTTCTCTTTGAAAAATTATGACTCAATGATACTGAGTTACTGAGTGGAATAATGTTAAAACAGATTTGAGTACAAGTGTATTATTGTTAGGCATAAAATATTAAAAGTGTTCACTTTTACCACTCTTACTCTGTAGAGTACTGTAAGTCTTAACCATAGCAACTAGACAAGAGAAAGAAATAAAGGACATCTAAATATAAAAGGAGGTGGTCAAATTATCCCTTTTTGTAGCCAAATCATTTTAAATAGAGAAATCTAGAGACTTCACTAAAGACTATTATAACTGGCTAATAATGTATTAAGGTTGCAGAAAAGAAAATCAATACAAAGGGCAGGCATTTGGTACAGTGGTTAACCCAATGCTTGGGACACTGCCTCCTCCCACTTCTGATCTAGCTTCTCGTTAATGTGCATTGTGAGAAGCAGCAGGTGGACAGTTCAGGTGTTTGGATCCTTACAATCTATGTGAAAGACCTGGACTGAATTTTTGGATTCTGGCTGTGGCCTGGTTCGGTCCTGTTTTTTTTTTCCCTCCCTCCCTCCCTCTTTATTTATTTATTGACAGGCAGAGTGGACAGTGAGAGAGAGAGAGACAAAGAGAAAGGTCTTCCTTTTCCATTTTTTCACCCTCCAATGGCCGGCGCGGCCGGCACGTTGCGCTGATCTGAAGCCAGGAGCCAGGTGCTTCTCCTAGTCTCCCATGGGGTGCAGGGCCCAAGCACTTGGGCCATCCTCCACTGCACTCCCGGGCCATAGCAGAGAGCTAGACTGGAAGAGGAGCAACCGGGACAGAATCCGGCGCCCTGACCGGGACTAGAACCCGGTGTGCCGGCGCCACAGGCAGAGGATTAGCCTAGTGAGCCGTGGCGCTGGCCATCCTTCTTTATTTTTAAAAAAGATTTATTTATTTATTTGAAAGGCAGAGTGACGGAAAGAGAGGAATGGGAGGGAGAGATCTATCTGCTGGCTCTTCCCAAATGGCTGTAACACTGACACTCAGCGAGGCTGAAACCAGGAGCCAGGAGGCATGAACTCCCTCAGGGTCTCCCACGTGCGTGCGTGGCTGGAGCCCAACCACTTGGGTTATATTCTACTACTTTTCCGGGTGCATTAGCCAGGGAGCTGGGACTTGAACTGATCGGGTGGCACTGTGCCACAGTGCTGGCTCCCCAGTCCTGCAAAAATGCAGGAATTTGGGGAGAGAACCAAGTGGATGTGAATCAAGTGAACCAAGGGGATCAATAATCTCTCTGCCTTTCAAATAAATAGAAAAAATCTTTTTAAAAAAATCAATACACACAAAAGATTTTTTATACAACAACGTTGAGAGAAATCCCATTAACAATAAAAAAGGCATCCTAGAAATAAATGTAACGTGGGAAATAAGTGATAGCTATAATTACAAAGCACCCATGACAGAAACTGAAGAGGGCACACATAAAAATGGAAAAGCATTCATGTCCACAGATTGGAAGAAATAATATTGTTAAAATATCCATACTACTAAAAGTCTTATTTATTTATTTATTTATTTATTTTTATTTGAAAGGCGGAGTGAGACAGAGAGACAGATCTTCTGTCCAGTGTCCACTTCTCAAATGCCTGCAATACCTCGAGCTAGCCCAGGCACGCTGATAAAGGATGATGGTGCCCCAAGCAGCAGCTGAACCCACTGTACCAGAACACCCACCCCGGAGGAATATTCTAATAATCTAATATTCTATAGCCCAGTAGGATAACAATGGTTGATAACAATTGAGTATTTCAAAATAGCTAGTAGGATTTTAAAAATTTGCAACACAAAGAGATGACAAATGTGATAGCTGGGTGATAGATATGCTAATTATCCTGATCTGACTACTGTACACTGTATTCATATATTGAAATGCCACTTTGTATCCCATAAATATGGGTAATTACTATGTGTCAACTAGGAAATATATTAAAAATAAATAAACATACTAAAAACTGTGGTTTTAGGCACATTTCTGCTGCAATAAGTGAAAAGGCTGGTGTATAATAAGCCAGTCAAATTTATAGGAGTGGATGGAAGTAAGTATTCAAACATGACTGAACTCCTACGGCCTCAGTTTAGGAATAAACAGAGCTCCTAAAGTTAGCCAATGTGTTCATTAAGTCAAATTTAATACTAGGATAGCAGTACTATGGGCTTAAAAATTTATAGGCTATGAATAAAATCAAGTAATAAAAAAACCACAGAAGTCTCAAGTCAGCATGAAGGACACATGCCAAGGAAAAGTAAAATTTTGCCCCCAGAGCTACAAAAAATTGTTCCATTGACTAATGTCTAATGTCGGGGCCAGTGTGGTGGTGCACAGGTTAAGCCACTGTCTGAGAAGCCAGCGTTCCATATGGGCACCAATTCCAGCTCTGGCTGCTCTGCGTCAGATCCAGTTCTCTGCTTATGCACCTGGGAAAGCAACGGAAGATGGCCCAGGTACTTGGGCCCCTGCCAGCTATCTGGAAGATCTGGATGGAGTTGCCAGCCCTGGCTTTAGCCTGGCCAGCCCTGGCTTTTGCAGTCATTGGAGACTTTATCAGTGAATGGAAGATCTCTATCTCTGGCCCCTCTATACACTCTAACTCTGCCTTTCAAATAAATAAATAAATCTTTAAAAATAAAATGTCTATTGGGGGCCAGTGTTGTGGTACAGCAGGTTAAGCACTGTCTCCAACACCGGCATCACATATGGGTGCCAGTTTGTGTCCCGGCTGCTCTACTTCCAATCCAGTTCCCTGCTAATGACCTAAAAACCAGCAGAAGATGGCCCAAGTGTATGGGTCCCTACCACCACATGCGAGACCTGGATGAAGCTCCTGGCTCCTGGAATCAGCCTGGCCCAGCCCTGGCCATTGCAACCATCTGGGGAGCAAATCAGCAAGATGCAGGATCTTTCTCTTTCTCTCTCCTTCTCTCTGTATCTCTTTCAAATAAAATAAATAAATCTTTTTCCAAAAAAAGGCTATGGTCTAAACCATAATGAAAAACCAAAGCCTTAACCATGAATTCATGTATATATAAACAGACCAATATTCAGTCCTGAATTATTTTATCAGGATCAAAGACTAACTTACTGGGCTTGGCATTGTAGCATAGTGGGTAAAGACCCTGTATGAGACACCAGCATCCCAAATGGGCACTGGCTCAAGTTCCAGCTGCTTCACTTCCAATCCAGCTCCCTGCTAATGGCCTAGGAAAAGCAGCAGATGATCGCCCTAGGGCTTGGGCCCTTGCTACTCACGTGGGAGACCCAGAAGAAGCTCCTGGCTCCTGGCTTTGGCTTAGTCCAGCTCTGGCCATTGGGGCCATCATGGGGGTGAACCAGCAGAAGGAAGACTTCTCTTTCTCTGTCTCTCCCTCTCTTTGTAAATTTGACTTTCAAATAAATAATTAAATATTTTTTAATTTTTAAAAACATTTTTCAAACTGGCCCCTGTGCCATAGAAGGATATACTCCACCTCAGTGCTGGCATCCCATATGGACACCATTTCGAATCCTGGCTGCTCTACTTTGGATCCAGCTTTCTGCTGATGGCCTGGGAGAGCAGTAGAAGATGGCCCAAGTCCTTGGGACCCTGCACCCAAGTGGGAGACCCAGAAGAAGCTCCTGACTCCTGGCTTTGGGTTGGCTCAACTCCAGCTGTTGTGACCATTTGGGGAGTAAACCAGCGGATGGAAGACCTCTCTCTCCATCTCTCCCTCTCTGTAACTCTGCCACTCAAATAAATAAATCCATCTTAAAACAAACAAACAAAAAAACATTCTACACCACAGCGCTGGCCCCCCACACAAAAAAAAAAAAGAGAGAGAGAGACTAACTTATTGAAAGTAAGTCAATATTGTAATAGCATCAATTACCACCCTCCCTAATTTATGTAAATGTTACCTGGAACACGTGTTGAATGACTGTAGTTACGTTTATCTCCATCTGTAGGTTTTGTCGTATGGTCTTTATCTTGTCTGAATTTTCCATACTGTCCAAATCTTCTTTCTGTTTGTTCTTTTCAGTCTGTATTTCTAAAAGCTTACTTTCTGAAGCTTTTTTTAAATCTAATAGGTTAAAGTAAAATAATACATATGATGACTCCATAAATAAGGATCATGAAAAATTATGAAACAGAACATTTCCTGGTTATTTATTCAAGAGAAAAAAATCTTTTGGGGCTAGTGCTCTGATGAAGTGAGCTAAACCTCTGCCTGTGGTGCTGTCATTCCATATGGGCATCGGTTCTAGTTCTGGCTGCTCTTCTTCCAATCCAGCTCTCTGCTATGGTATGAGAAAGCAGTGGAAGATGGCCTAGGTGCTTGGGTCCTGCACCCGTGTGGGAGATCCGGAAGAAGCTCTAGGCTCCTGGCTTCGGATGGGCCGTTGTGGCCATTTAGGGAGTGAACCAGCAGATGGAAGACCTCTCTCTATGTCTTTCCCTCTCTTTATCTGTAACTCTACCTCTCAAATAAATAAAATCTAAAAAAAATATCATTTATAAAGAGTCATTTATTTGAAGAGCAGAGCAGCATCAAGCTGAGAAAGAGCGACAGAAAGAGGAAGAGAGATCTTTCATCTGTTGGTTCACTCCCCAAACGGCTATAACAGCCACTTCTGGGCCAGGCCGAAGCCAGGAGCCAGGACTACATCCAGGTCTCTCCCGTGGGTAGCAGAGGCTGAAGTGTGTGAGCCATTGTCTGCTGCTTTTTCAGGTACATTAGCAGAGAGCTGTACTGGAAGCGGAAAAGCAGGACTAGAACCGGGGCTCTGATATGGGATGCAGCAGCTTAACCCACTGCACCACAATGCTGAAGACAAAGTCCTCAGAAACTAATAATTTTGTGGGTTAAAGTTATAAAGCAACAGAAATAAAAAAGCAGAATGCATTTCATAGCCTACTTGTTAAATTTGTATGTACAAAATTTTAAGAACCTTTGAAAATTAAGAAATTTCTCAGTGGTTGAGAGAGCTGGCCGTGTTAGTCGCTAAAGTAAGTGAAATATGTTCAGCCAAAAAAAAAAAATTAGCATTCTCCATACCCAATCTCTTCTTTCTGATCTCAAGCCGTTTTCTCTCTAAACTTCGAGATTCCTGTTATTAAAAATAGAAATTAAAGCACATTACTTAAGAATGAATAATTAAATCCCTGAGTCCTTTCAATCAGTTCATGTTTTGCTAATGTCCCTGGGAAAGCAGCAGAAGATGGCCCAAATTCTTGGGCCTGTGCACCCACGAGGGAGACCTGGCCCAGCCCTGGCTATCTGGGGAGTGAGCCAGTGGATGAAAACCCTCTGTCTCTGTCTCTTCCTTTCTGTAACTCTGCCTCTCAAATAAATATAATACAGCTTTTTAAAAAAAAAGAACCTGGCCAGTGCCATGGCTCACTAGGCTAATCCTCCGCCTGCGGTGCCGGCACCCCGGGTTCTAGTCCTGGTTAGGGCACTGGGTACCAGTCCCGGTTGCTCCTCTTCCAGTCCAGCTCGGCTGTGGCCCGGGAGGGCAGCGGAGGATGGCCCAAGTGCTTGGGTTCCTGCACCTGCATGGGAGACCAGGAGGAAGTACCCAGCTCCTGGCTTCGGATCCGTGCAGCGACGGCCGTAGCAGCCATTAGGGGAGTGAACCAACGGAAGAAAGATCTTTCTCTCTGTCTCTCTCTCACTCTCACTGTGTAACTCTGCCTGGCAAAAAAAACAAAAACAAAAACAAAAAAAAAACCTAAGGAGCATGAATTCTATAGTCATACCAGTTCCTATGGGTAACCCTCTTCAATCATTTATAATAGTTACCAGTAAGTTGTTACTGAAATCATGAAAATGCATATGAAGCCAAAGTGCAAATTTACCTTCTGTGATCTTATTATTAGTTTATTTAGCTTTAATATTTGTTTCATATTATCCATGAATTCACTAAAAAGGAAACAAAAATATGTTAACTTAGTTAAAAATAAAAAATCTCTCATAACTTCACTAAGTTATAAATTAGAATATACTTACCTTCACTAAATCCATTGTATACTTCATTAGAAAGTCATTGTTTTACAAAAATCTGCAAGTTTAATGTAAACTAATTTTCTATTAGAGATGTTTTCCTAGAAAAATTTCTGATCACAAAGAATAATATTGAGTTAAAGAATGTAGAAACATTTATAAAAATTTCATGTGTAGAGGAAAAAAAGCCCTACTAACTTACTATAAGCTGATTTTTAAAAACATAATTTAGGGGGCCAGTGCTGTGGCATAGTAGGTTATGCATTGCCTATGGCACCCACATCCCACATGAGTGCCGGTTCAAGTCCTGGCTGCTCCACTTCTAATCTAGCTCCCTGCTGATGGCCTGAGAAAGCAGAAAATGGCTCACGTGCTTGGGCCCCTGCACCCACCTGGAGGACCCAGAAAAAGCTCCTGGCTCCAGGCTTCAGATCAGCACAGTTCCGGCCATTGCTGCCATCTGGAGAGTGAGCCAGTGGATGGAAGATCTCTGTCTTTTCCTCTCCCTGTAACTCTGCCTCTCAAGAAAATAATTTTTGTAAAAATTATTTAATTTTTAGAGCATTTTAAGTGCACAGCAAAGGTGAGAAGATACAGAGACTTCCCACATGCACTCTATTCCCCGCCCCCCCTAACCTCCTTCATTATCGGCATGCCCCACCAGGGAGGTGCATCTGTCACAACTGATGAACTTGCACCACGACAAAGCCCACAGTTTACGTCAAGGATCAGTATCCACCATTATACTATCATATAGAATAGTGCTGTGTTTGAATGTTTCCCCCCAAAGCTCATGTGTTAGGAACTTAATCCCCAAATTCATATGGTAAGGGTATTTAGAGAGGGGCCTTTGGGAGGTAATTCGTAATTAGAGGCAGTCATGAGGGTAGAGCTCCTGAGATGGCGCTGGTGGCGTGGTGAAAACAGGACTAGGACCTGGGCTAGCACTCTTGCTCTGTCTCGCTCTGTGATGCCCTCTGCTGTGTTACGAAGCAGCAAGAAGGCCCTCCCCAGAGGCTGACACTACATCCTTGGGACCTTCTAGCCTTTGGAACCATGAGCTTTGTAAACCTGTATTCTTTACAAATTACTTAGTCTGTGGCAATCACTAATACCAACAGAAAACAGAATAAAACATTTAGTTTGAAGGAATAATCCTCATGTCTTCAATAAATATTTCTGAGTGTTTACTACATGCAAGAACTGGGCAAGGCACCAGACTCCCCAAGTAGCCACACAGCCATGGCTAAGCCAGGCAGAAGCCAGGAGCCAGGAGCTTCATCTAGGTTTCCTGTGCAGGTAGCAGAGGCCCAAGCACTTGGGCCATCTTGGGCTGCTTTTCCCAGGCCATTATCAGTGAGCTGGATCAGAAATGGAGCACCCAGGACTTGAACCAGCACCCATATGGGATGCTGGCATTGCAGGCAGCAGCTTAACCTGCTACAGCACAATACCAGCCCCCAATTTTATTTATTTATTTACTTTTAGCAGTTGTAAACTACAAAACCTGGTAAAAGCATTGCCTCAGCCGGTTTTAGCTTTCTATTGTCTTTGGATGTTGATAATGATGACTCTGTCCTGTACCCTACCCCTTCAACTCCAGAATGTTTTAAGTTTTCCTTTTATGGGGGAGCAATAGTTCACAGAGGCCAAACCTACGTAATCTGGGCCTTTGCTGGGATACAGGGAGAAAGCATATCAGTGTGGGCTAAGCCCCAGAAATGAGAAGTGTCCACATCCATCTTGGAACTTTTCTATTGCTGATGGAAGGCAGTCCTGTATCATAAGATTTGTATTTATTTATTTTTACTTATTTGAAAGGCAGAATGATGGCATTGGGGGAGGGAAGAAGGGGAAGAGAGAGCGAGCGAGCGAGAAGAGAGTGTCAATCCTCTGTTGTTTTTTCCCCAAATGCCTGAAACAGCCAGGACTGGGCCAGGCTGAAGGTAGGAGCCAGGAACTCCACCTGTGTCTTCCACATGGATGGCAGAAAACTCAAGTACCTGAGCCATCACCTGCTGCAATAATTAGGATTGTGCAAAAATTAGCAGGAAGCTGAACAGAAAGCAGAGCTGGGCCTGAACCAGACCCTCTGATATGGGATGTGAGCATCCCAAGCTCCTCTACCAAGCCTCACCCTATCACAAGGGTTTTAGAGACTTAGGAGTAAGATCTCAACAAGCATCCTGGGGCCAGATTCTCAGGACTGGGTTTTGGATGACCTTGGCTGCCAGAAGCTTTATTTTATATTCCCTGGAAAATTGTTTAATCTGAACAAATTAATTTCTAGCAATGAAAAATGGGAAGTATATTTCTATTTCATCGAATTGTGGTTGGATGAAATAAAGATAGTAGTATTGTTCCTGGCTTATAATTAATACCGAACAAATGTTAACTTTTAAAGTTTTTTTTTTTTAAGATTTACTTATTTATTTGAAAGGCAGAGTTACAGAGAGGCAGAGGCAGAGAGAGAGAGCTTCCATCCACTGATTCATTCCCCAAATGGCCACAAAGGCCAGCCTGCACCAATACAAAGCCAAGAACCAGGAGCTTCTTCTGGGTCTCCCATGTGGGTGCAGTGGCCCAAAGACTTGGGCCACCTTCTACTGCTTTCTCAGGCCATAGCAGAGAGCTAGATCAGAAGGGGAGCAGCCAGGTCTCAAACCAGTGCCCATATGGGATGCCTGCACTGCAGGTTGGTGGCTTTTACCTGCCACGCAACAGCGCCAGCCCTTTAAAGCATTTCTCAAATTTTTCAGACTATCTGGATAAAACTTAGGGCTTCTTATGGCTGTGATCCATACGGAATAAGATGTCACAAGACTCTGAAATCTGTTATAATTCTGAGGAAGGCCTACAAAACTTCCATCATTTTTCTTATTCCCCAGATAAAGGTGGTTGGCAGTGACAGAAAATTAAAAAGAAACGCTCAGGGATGGGTACTGTGGCCCAGTGGGTTAGGCATCTACTTGGGATGCCTGCAGACCATAATGGAACGTCTAAGTTTGATTCACACCTCTGCCTCTGAGCCAGCTTCTGATTCTGCTAGTGCACATTCTGGGAGACAGTGATGATGGTTCAAGCACCCGAGTCACTACCACCCACATGGAGACCTGGATGCAGTTCTTGATCTCTGGATTCAGCCTGGCCCATCCCTGGATGTTATGGGCATTTGGGAAGTGAACCAGTAGATGGAAGACATCTCTGTCTATCTCTATCTATGGTTTTTGCCTTTCAAATAAATAAAAATAAATAAATAATTAAAGAAATTTTCACTAAACACAAAATAAAGTTACTGTGCAGATCTCTCTTATTATTCCTATTCTTATTAAATCCAAACAAATAGTCATACCTATTCTTGGCATCAATTTTTTCCAGGTTATTTTGAAGTGCAGTTGAACGTTGTATCCTACGAGAGATAAAAATTTTTTCATTATAAAATATGAATAAAACTTATGGTACATTAAAACAATTTTAAGACAACCTCAAAATTGATTTCCCATTAACAAAAGATAAAGTATAAAAGTAGGTTTTCAAAGAGTATTGTATGGGGAACACTTTGAGAAATGGATTAATACAGGGCCAGCACTGTGGTGTAGTGGGTTAAGCCACCACCTGCAATGCCAGCATCTCATAGAGGGGCTGGTTCAAGAAGTGGCTGCTATGCTTCCAATCCAGCTCCCTGATAATGTGTCTGGGAAAACAGCAGAAGATGGCCCAAATGCTTGGGCCCCTGTACACACATGCAAGACCCAGATGAAGCTCCTAGCTCCTGGCTATGGTTGGGCCCAGCCCTGGCCATTGCAGCCATTTGGGGAGTGAATCAGCAGATGGAAGATCACACACTTTCTCTGTCTCCTCTCTACTTTGTAATTCTGCCTTTCAAATAAATAAAATAAATCTTAAAAAAAAAAGATCATAAACAATATGAAACAATCGCACGTTAATTGGGGCTGTTTCACATGGTTGTACACAGCCAGGCTGGGGCTAACTGGACCTGCAATCCATCTTGGGCTGGGTAAGCTCTGTCAGCCATTCCCTTCACACAGGGGAAGCAAGAAGGCATTACAGAGACCACCACATGCATGAAAAACCAGGGAGGACTGAGGTAGTATGAAGTCATACTCGACCACGAACTTTAAAACACGCTGCTGTGATTACTTTTAAACTCCAATAGCTAATAAATAAGCAAAAATAAATAGGCAGTCAAGTCAGAAATTGTAATTTCTTCCTTCCTGCTGTATATGAGCAATTAAAAAAGCTTTAACTACTTTTGATTAAGCACATGCAGCTATTCATCTGGGAAGGCCCGTAATACAAAAAATGGCTCTTAAAGCCATTTGTAAAGTCCATAGGAGACCATATTTGTCTTACTTATGGTCACAGGTCAATGACAAGGATACATTCTGAGAAATGTGTCATTAGGCGTGAACATTACAGAAAACACTGACAAACACTAAGACGGGCACAACGTCACTGGAAGAATCTAATGACACCACCACCGTGCAGGTGGCCCATCGCTGACTCAATCACCAACCTAGCACAAAGATTAACATATAGTATGCAACCAAATATTTGTTTATGCATTTAAAAATACAGGTATAAAACCTATAGCCACAAATATACTTGAACCTGGGGCTGGCGTTGTGGAATAGCAGGTGAAGCTGCCACCTGTGATGCCAGCATCCCATAGGGAGGAACCGGCTGCTCCACTTCCATTCCAGCTCCCTGTTAATGCACCTGGGAAAAGCAACGGAGGACGGCCCAAGTGCTTGGACCCCTGCACCCATGTGGGAGACCTGAAGAAGCTCCTGGCTCCTGCCTTTGGACTGGCCCAGCTCTGGCCGTTGTAGCCATTTAGGGAGTGAATCAGTGGATGGAAACCCTCTGTCTCTTTCTCTACCTGACTCTCTCTGTAAACTCTGCCTTTCAAATAAATAAATAAATCTTTAAAACTATATATACGCACTGAACTCAATGTCATTCTTTTACTGGGTTATTCCAGTTACTAGGATAAATGAATACATATAATCCTTTCAAACACCAAAGGGATTTAACCTCACACTTGCAATGCCTTGACTGAAGTTTCCTTATTAACCTCATCCTACACAATTTCTTCAAATGGGGATATTAATGAAAAATCTAACTTTTCTCTCAGAGTTCAAAATTTGTGTGCCCAATATCTAATAATCATTTTAGTAACTAATTCATTTAGCATAGTGAAAAAAAATCTCTCTGCCTTGTCCCCATAGGCATTTTATATTAATTTCACATGCTTCTATTTAAGACAATAATTACCTGTTTAATGCAATACTTTTCATTTCATAAGCAATTTTTACCTCTTCAATTTCATTCTCCAGTTCTTCGATTTTACTATTAAAGAAACATGAAAAAAAAAGTCAGCAATATTGGAAAAAGTCATTATTGAAATAAATTTATAATATAAGCCTTTGAAAAAAGTAAAATACTTTGTCAGTAAAAGTATTCTTAGGGGTGGCCAATTAGCCTTGTGGTTAAGACACTAGTTAAGACACCTGGGTCCCCATCACAGCACCTGTGTTCAATTCCTGGCCCTGGCTGCCGACTCTGGCTTCCTGCTAATGCAGATCCTGAAAGGCTGTGGTGATAGTTCCAAGAACTGAGTTCCTACCATCCACATGGGAGACCTAGAATGAGTTCCTGGCTTCCAGTGTCAGTCCCAGCTGGGGAACCCATTGTGGGCATTTGCAGATGGGAGCTTTCTCTCTCTCTGCCTCTCAAATAATTGGGAATAAAGCATTCTGTAGACTTACCATACAAAAGCATATTTACAGATTTGTTAAACTGATGTCTCCTGAGCTACTTTGATCAATATTTGTAAGTGGGGAGGCCAGAGAGTGTTAATGTGATTGCTTGGAGCCAGCACTGTGGTGTACCAGGTAAAGCCGCAGCCACCAGTGCTGGCATCCCATATGGGTGACAGTTCAAGTCCTGGCTGCTCAACTTCCAATCCAGCTCTCTGCTGTGGCCTGGGAAAGCAGTACAAGATGGCCCAAGCCATCTCCCATGCACCCACAGGGGAGACTGGGAAGAAGCTCCTGTCTCTTGGCTTTGTATTGGTGCAAGCTGGCCATTGTGGCCATTTGGGGAGTGAACCAGTGAATGGAAGACCTCGCTCTCTCTCTGCTTCTGCCTCTCCTTCTCTCTCTGCGTAACTCCGACTTTCAAATAAGTACATAAATCTTTAACAAAAAAAAAAAAAAAAAGATTGTTCACATACATGTATGTCTCTATCTCAAATCAAACACTTCTCAGTACATACATGACAAATTATTTGGAAAAATAAGAGGAAAAAGTAAAACAATGTTATATAGAGATACCATGATTAAATCTTAGTTTTAAAACCACAAATGAAATATAAAAATATGACATACTCCTCAATTTGGTTTTCTTGCATGATTTGTTCTGGAGTTTTTTCTTCATCTACAAATAAATAATTTTTTGAAGTCAGTAACATTTTAGAACAGTGCTGCCCAAAAGGGTTAACAAGCTACAAAAGAAAAATGTGTTATTTCAACATGCAATGGATTTAAAATTACTAACAAAATATTTTTTATTCTTTTTTCCTGTATTTTACATTTATAGCCCATCTCAACGAAGAGTAACTACATTTCAAGTGTTCAACAGTCACATGGAATCAGTGGTTATCTTACTGGGGAGAACAGTTTTAGAATGTTAAAAAAAAAAAAAAAAGTAAAAAAACTAACAAGATAAATAATGTCAAAAAAGAAATGTAAAATGTCCACATATTAGCAACAGGTAATCGGAGATTAAAACTTTAGAATTGTCATTGATAGTGGCATTCAAGGAAAAAAAAAGTGGCATTTAAGGAAAAATTTAACAACATTTGTGAAGACCTCTATACTAAACATTGCTAAATACTGAAATGGGTATACTATGTACATGTGCTAAGCAATATGACCCATATTGACCTCTAGATCTCAACTAAATCCCAGTCAAAATTCTATCAGGCCTTTATTTCTGCAGAAACTGTTGAGCTAATTAGAAAGGCAAAGGAGCTAGAAAAGTCTAAATAATTTTGACAAAAGAGAACAAAGTTGGAAGACTGATAGGAGCTGATACCAAGACTTACCATAAAACTGCAGCAATGAAGACAGTATAATGCTGCTGTAGGGATGAATAACTCTACAGAACCAACAAAACAGCCCGGAGCTTTCTCTGATGATAGAAATACTTGATATCTGCACTGTCCTACAGGGTAGCCACTAGCTACATGTGGCTATTGAACATTTAATATGTGATTAACTCTAACTATATAACTGAATTTTTAAATTTTATTTAACTTAAAAAAGCAACATCTCTCTCTGACCCTACCTGTCAAATTAAAAAAAAAAAAAAAAAAAGCCACATGTGGCTAATTGCTACCCTGTCGGACTTCACAATTCTAGAAGACAAATCTATAGTAAAAGATCAAATTGGTGACTGCTGGGGTTAATGGTGGGTCAGGGAACTTTTGGGTAAGACAAAAATGTTTTACATTTTGATTGTGGTGGTGGTAACATATTTGTATTTGTTTGTCAAAATTCATCAAATTGTATCCTTAAAATGGATGCCATTATTGTTAAAAGAAACAATCTTTAGACAATGAAATCTCAGTAATTTTTTTAAATGGTAAAAGAACTCATTTTAGATAAATGTCTTCTTTCAAAAATTACAACTAAACTTTCTGTGGCTTTAAATCTCCTTTAGAGGGCTGGCACTGTAGTGAAGACGCCTGTATCCCATATGGGTGCTGTTTCATGTACTGGCTGCTCCACTTCCAAACCAGCTCCCTGATAATGTGCCTGGGAAAGCAGTTGAAGATGGTCTAAGTCTTTCTCTCTCTCCCCTTCTTTCTCTGTAATTCTGCCTTTGAAATTCTAGTGCAGGGGTCAGCCATGTGGCATAGTGGGTTAAAATGCTGCCTGTGAAGCCAGCATCCCATATAGGTGCTTGTTCAAGTCCCAGCTGCTAACGTGCCTAGGAAAGCATCAGAGGATGGCCGAAGTACTTGGGGCCCTGCACCCACATTGAAGACCCAGAAGAAGCTCCTGGCTTGGGCCTGGCCCAGCCCTGGCCATTGGGCCATTTGGAAAATAAATCAGCAGATGGAAGATCTCTTCCTCTCTCTTTCCCTCTCTGTAACTCTACCTTTCAACTAACTAACTAACTAACTAAATTCTATAGTGTGATCTATTAAATCTACCTGCATTTTCAGATGTCATAATCCCTTACAAATGGAATTATCTGTATACCAAAACCCAGAACCGTACAAGAAGGCCATTCTTTATCATTGGATCTCAGTTCTAAAGCATCTTGTCAGAGAAGCCTCTCCCTCATCCTAACTCAAGCAGCCCCTCCCTCTTGCCACAGCATCATTTCTTTGATCACACTCAGCATATCCTGTAGTTTATCGATTTTGCTGTACTAAACATTTTTTTGAAAAGCTGATTTTCTTTTCCCTACAGTATCATTCATCACCAAAGCTCCCAAAACTGTATTTGAAAATGAAAATACATACTTGCATCAACCATCGATTTATATTCCACGAGTTGTTGTTTTATCTGTGCTCGCAGTCTGAAGACAGATAAAAAATAGGAAGTCATTCATTTATTGACTGGGGTTTTACTCACTGTCATCTGATAAACTAATATCTTGTTCAGAAGCTGATAGAACAAAATGAATATAAATAAAATAGCATTAAAGTCTTCCACTCTGGCCTCATTTTATTTCAAATGGGCACAAAGAACTGTAAGACACAAAATGCAATACATTGGGAAAACAGCATCTGTGAAGAAAAGTTAAGATTTGGCCAGAATCCAGCGAGGCTTCAGGAAAACGGCTACCGAGAGAAAAAATGTTAACCAAAGTGATGAAACCTGAGAAGAACACAACTAGTTATAAAGACAGATGGCGACCTTCTCAGGCAAGGCCGAAAATTAACAAAAAAAAATTAATCTTGGATAGAGGACTCATTTGCAAAGGTTTCTTAGTTCTATTCCACTTGATCAAAAATCATACTTAAAAGTTGAAAAACTGTGGGTAGAGTGGTAGATAACTTACATTTACCAAACATTTGCATAGAATTTTGTTAAGTCCAAACTGCTTGGTGACTCAACACCTATTTAGGAAGCAGTAGACAAATCCCTAAAAGTCTATGCTAAGTTACTTATGTTTTAAACTTTCCAAGGAGAATAGCAATTCTCTAAGCTGCACGCTGCAAGAATAACCGCTGCACAAGATCTTACATCCTAAAAATTCAAATATTTTACAGTAGGAAGGGATTTTTAAAGTAAGCCTGCGAGATTTATTAGCCAAGGCCTTTCAAAGTAAAAACCAAGCTACAAAGTGAGCGATGCAGCCACGCAGCCGCCAAGCGCGCGAGCGCCCGCCGGACCCTGGCCGTTAGGACCGAGGCGCGAGCGCCCGCCGGACCCTGGCCGTTAGGACCGAGGCGCGAGCGCCCGCCGGACCCTGGCCGTTAGGGCCGAGGCGCGAGCGCCCGCCGGACCCTCAGGCCGCCGCCGCCGCCGGGGATCCACCTGAGCAGCAGGGTCACGCGGTCCTCGCTGCGGCCACCGGCGACCTGCGGCAGCCCGCCCGCGCCGCCTTCCCCTCCCGAGTCGGCGGGCTCGGCGGCCGCCCGCTTCTCGGGCTGCGACTCCATGGCCAGAGGCAGCCAAGGCGCAGACAGCCCTCACGGCCTTCGAAAGCCGCTTTTCCCGCCACGAAATGGACGCCGCGTCCCCGCCCCTTCCGCCCCAGGCCACGCCCCTTCCGCCCCGTCTCCGGTTGCCCTGGTTACCGCTCGCTTCCTGCGTCTCCTGGTTCCGCTGACAGAAATGGCTAACGGAGCGCTGAGGGAGTGTTCCACGGACTGCCGCGCGCGGAGCTGGGAGCCGCGGCGAGCGCGGGGACTTGGAAAACGCGGAAGGTGAACCTTGGGAGGTTGTGGCGGCTGTGGTGTGCGGTGTGAGAGTCGCAGCCCACGCCTGCGGGGAGGCGGGTGGCTCCGCGTGAGGGCCGTCTGCGGCCGAGTCGAGCCCTGCCGGGTCCTGGCGCCCCCCGTGCCGGCCCCGGGGCTGGCCGGGGTGACTGCTGCCTCAGCGGGCCGTGCCGGGGGCGGGGGCGGACGCAGTAAGCGCTGGGCCCGGCGGGTTTGTGCTGTGGCCGTCACGCGAGGGACGCGGTTCTTGCCGCACCCGCGCTGCAGCTCAAACCTCTTTGAGTAAGAGGGGCTGGGCTTTTTTTTGAAAGGCAGAGTTAGAGAGAGAGGGAGTGGGGGAGAGAGGGGAGAGGTCTTCCATGCACTGGGTCACTCCCCGAATGGCCTCATCCGGGCCTCCACGTGGGTGCAAGCGCCCAAGCGCTTGGCCGTCCTCGCTTCTTTCCCAGCGCGTTAGCAGGGAGCTGGTTGGAAGCGGGGCGGCCGGGACTCGACCAGCACCCTTCCGGGATGCAGTGCTGCAGGACGTGGCTTAACCGGCTACCGACAACCCGGCCCTCGGAATCCTGCACCACTCTACCCGCACCCCCCCGCAGTTACACGGGGCTTTCCTCTCCCCCGCTCCATTACCAAAGTAACACAACGGCTAAGTTCAGAAGGCACAGGAGCATGGGAACTAAGACGTCAGGAAACCCACCCTTTGAAGCAGCTGGCTGCCCATCAGATGTCCACTGGCCAACTTGGACAAAAGTAAGGCAGAGTTCTCCAACCTGTGCATGCACCAAATTATAGGGATTAACAGATTTCCGAGTGTGTTCTGTCAATCTAAAAACACCCAAATATCATGTGCTAAAAATGTCGATGGAATTCCATAGTCCACATGTTAAAAATTCAACACAGGAAGCCGGCGCCGTGGCTCAATAGGCTAATCCTCCACCTTGCGGCGCCGGCACACCGGGTTCTAGTCCCGGTTGGGGCACCGGATTCTGTCCCGGTTGCCCCTCTTCCAGGCCAGCTCTCTGCTGTGGCCAGGGAGTGCAGTGGAGGATGGCCCAGGTGCTTGGGCCCTGCACCCCATGGGAGACCAGGAAAAAGCACCTGGATCCTGGCTCCTGCCATCGGATCAGCGCGGTGCGCCGGCTGCAGCGGCGGCCATTGGAGGGTGATCCAACGGCAAAGGAAGACCTTTCTCTCTGTCTCTCTCACTGTCCACTCTGCCTGAAAAAAAAAAAAAAATGTATGCCTAAGAGTGAATATGTTTAATGAAAGCATTAAGATCACTTTTTAAAGATTAATATATTTCTAATTGGGGATACAATGTCAGCCCATCCCAAGCTAGTACTTAATGTATAGTCAAACTCCTATCTTCTGGCTACCAACATAATTTGAAAGTTTATACACTAAATTGTCAACGCCCTGAAGTGGTGGTCTTATCTTACCTGATAAACTGGTAAAACTATTTTGTGTAAAATTATTGTATTACAGGAGAAAATAAGTAGATCAGAGTAACAGATGGGCATTAGATAGTTCAATTCTGACAAGGAGGGTTTGACCCACATGATACTGGTATCAACAGGTATCCTGTAAGAATCCCCTCACACTGCATGCAAAAGTAGCCTACTTGAAGGATTATAGATCTACACAGGAAAAACTAGGATATAATTTTAGAAACTGTCCATGGCTTTGGGATGGAGTTGACCTGAAGTCTGAAAATCCAAAAGTAATTTACTGGAAAAACAGGGTTGAGGTGAAAACTTGAAATTTTTTCTGCAAAAGACAGCATAAACAAAGGGCAAATGACAAACTGGGAAAGCTTTCATATTGAGAAGTAGACAATTACATAATTTTCCATCAGAATTATTCAAACATGAAATGACATAGGGCCTCTTTTGCTAGTCTGAATCAGAGATTGAAGACTGATTAACATTTGTTCTAACAGGAGTGCAAAACCAGCATGTGATGACATGGAAAACCTCCTGGCTCTACCTGTCACAACTTAAAATTGACATTATTTTGGGAACCTAGCATAAACAAAAGCATGGTTTAAGATTGTATTAAAAAGTGTTATTGGGAGCTGGAGCTGTGGCATGGCAGGTGAAGTCACCACCTGCAGTGCCAGCATCCCATGTGGTTCGAGTCCTGGCTGCTGCACTTCTGATCCAGCTCTCTGCTAATGGCCTGGGAAGGCAGTAGAAGATGGCCCATCTTTGGGCCCCTGCACCCACGTGGAAGACGTGGAAGAAGCTCCTGGCTCCTGATCAGCCCAGCTCTGGCCGTTGCGGCCAGCTGGGGAGTGAACTGGCGGATGAAGGACCTTTCTCCCTGCCTCTCCTTCTTTCTCTGTGTAACTCTTTCAAATAAATGAAATAAATCTTAAAAAAAAAAAATAATAACTGTAGGAGTAAAAGGGAAAGCTTCTGAATGTCACAGGTGAATGGCTGAGTATCTTACACTATATACACACACCATATAATGTTATGCACAAATACAGGTAGGCCTGTAATGTTGAGAGGAATTGCTAGGTATATGGAATGAGCTGAATTTTTAAAGTCCCTATAACCATTTGCATGCATGTTTGTTTACTTAAGGCACAGAAGGATTCATCCAGAAGTGCTGATGTCCTTCATGTGGGTGGGACTGAGGAGGGAGAATAAAGGAGGGGCAAATAAATGTTCTAAAAAAGTACCTGTGCATGTTTTGAGCATCCTTTTTTTTTCTTTTTTGTTTTTTGACAGGCAGAGTGGATAGTGAGAGAGAGAGACAGAGAGAAAGGTCTTCCTTTTGCCGTTGGTTCACCCTCCAATGGCCACCGTGCTGATCTGAAGCCAGGAGCCAGGTGCTTTTCCTGGTCTCCCATGGGGTGCAGGGCCCAAGCACTTGGGCCATCCTCCACTGCACTCCCGGGCCACAGCAGAGGGCTGGCCTGGAAGAGGGGCAACCGGGACAGAATCCGGCGCCCTGACCGGGACTAGAACCCGGTGGGCCAGCGCCGCAGAGCATCCCTTTTTCTTAACCAATAAACAGACACAAAATGAGGGCTGAGTTTAGAATGTAAATAAAAGCTTTTGCTTGGCTGGCGCTGCAGCTCACTAGCCTAATCCTCCGCCTTGTGGTGCCGGCACACCGGATTCTAGTCCCGGTCAGGGCACCGGATTCTGTCCCGGTTGCCCCTCTTCCAGGCCAGCCCTCTGCTGTGGCCAGGGAGTGCAGTGGAGGATGGCCCAAGTGCTTGGGCTCTGCACCCCATGGGAGACCAGGAAAAGCACCTGGCTCCTGCCTTTGGATCAGCGCGGTGCGCTGGCCGTGGCGGCCATTGGAGGGTGAACCAACGGCAAAAGGAAGACCTTTCTCTCTGTCTCTCTCTCTCACTGTCCACTCTGCCTGTCAAAAAAAAAAAAAAAAAAAAAAAAAGTTTTTGCTTGTCAATGTGAGAAAATTTAACATGCTAGGGCTGTAATTCAAGAAATGGTCATGAATCATTTAGAATTATGGCAGAAGCAGCAGCAGCAGCAAAGAAACAGGCAAGAAGGCACCAGGCACGGGGTAGTAGACTTTCACTTTAAAACAGGGCAGAAAATTCTCCAGAATGATACCCCATGCAAGTTTTAGAAACCTTTACTGCCTCAGGAACTCATGTTAATAAAGTAAAAGCCAGGCACATAAAACAAGAACCAAGTATATAAACATTCAGATGGGGGCTTGCGCTGTGGTGCAGCAGGTTAAAGCCCTGGCCTTAAGCACCACCTCCCACATGGGCACCAGTTCAAGTCCTGGCTGCTCCTCTTCCAATCCAGCTCTCTGCTGTGGCCTGGGAGAGCAGTGGAAGATGGCCCAAGTCTTTGGGCCCCTGCACCCACGTGGGAGATTTGGAATAGGCTCCTGGCTGTGGATTGGTGCAGCTCTGGCCGTTGTGGCCCTCTGGGGAGTGAACCAGCAGATGAAGACCTCTCTGCTGCCTCTCCTTCTATCTCCGTGTAACTCTTTCAAATAAATAAATAAATCTTTAAAAAAATAAAAATAAAACATACAGATGACTATTATATACATTATTTAGATCCCCAGGTAAATCAAAACAAATTTAAAAATTACTTCCCATCACACCTTTTAGGTTACCCTGAAGTAGGAAGTAACCACATTCAAATGAGTTCAGCCATAAAAAGTAAAAAGGGTTACAACCTTTATTAAAAGTAAATGTAGTATAATATGTACAGGGGCACATGGTGCCAATTTTATTTGCAGATACAGTATTCCAACTCAAGTTTATAAGTTACACCTTGGCCACAGCCTTGGCTAAGTCTTGAACCAGTGCAGAATTCAGCTGGGCTAGAGTGCTGATCTTAGCATGCTTAGATGTGGCATACTTGTTCTTGATGGTCTGGAAAAGCAAACCACAAGGCATTAAAAATACAAACTCTGTAAAAATAAGTTATGCATTTACATCGTTTTCCCTGGCATCTTGCAACGCCACCGACTGACTCACCATGTGCTTTGTAAGCCCACGATTCACCATCACTACATTCTTAGCCAGGTGCTGCATGACAGGAAGGAGAGCTTCCTCGGTGTATGACAGGTAATGCTGTAGGGTTGGCGTCTGCGACAACGACAAATATGTGTCAAAAAGTGCTCAACAAGAAGATGTGCATAAAATCTCAAGATACTAAATGAATACTTATAATCGAAACTTTAGAATAAGCGTAACACCTCTACCCCAGGTGCTTTTTTCTGTTCCTGGCTCAAACCTAATTACATTATTGTAACTGCCGACTTTTTTCTCCATCTGTAAGCAGTGACAGCTGTTCTACCTTTCTTAGAGGGGTATATAAATTCAAAATAAAAGCATGCTATGAAAAAGACATCACAAGATGGTCTTAGTCCTTCAGTCAGTTCCATATGTAAGAACTAATAGAATTGTTTCTTTATGACAAAGACTCTGTATTCAGTCAAACACCATTTGCAATTTAAAGCTTAGTAGTTCTGAGCTAATGCTTACCCATTCACCATTATCAAGAATTTTCAGTGCTAAGCAAAAGGCTCCTGCTGCAATCTGAGAAGGAGGAAAGTGCACCATGTCATAGTCCAGCATAGTCAGTTCCATCAGGTATTTGGCCAAAGTATGCTGCTCAACATCAACCTGGAACAAAGTCCATACATCACTTAGCTTCTCTCAGAGACTTTTTTTTTTTTTTGACAGGCAGAGTGGACAGAGAGAGAGAGACAGAGAGAAAGGTCTTCCTTTGCCGTTGGTTCACCCTCCAATGGCCGCCGCGGCCGGCGCGCTGCGGCCAGCGCACCGCGCTGATCCAATGGCAGGAGCCAGGAGCCAGGTGCTTCTCCTGGTCTCCCATGGGGTGCAGGGCCCAAGCACTTGGGCCATCCTCCACTGCACTCCCGGCCACAGCAGAGAGCTGGACTGGAAGAGGGGCAACCGGGACAGAATCCGGTGCCCCAACCGGGACTAGAACCCGGTGTACCGGCGCCGCTAGGCAGAGGATTAGCCTAGTGAGCCGCGGCGCCGGCCTGAGACTTTTTTTTTGACAGGCAGAGTTAAGACAGTGAGAGAGACAAAGAGAAAGGTCTTCCTTTGCCATTGGTTTACCCCTCAAGTGGCAGCTACAGTGCGCACTGCACTGATCCCAAGCCAGGAGCCAGGTGCTTCTCCTGGTCTCCCATGCGGGTGCAGGGCCCAAGCACTTGGGCCATCCTCCACTGCACTCCCTGGCCACAGCAGAGAGCTGGCCTGGAAGAGGAGCAACCGGGACAGAATCCGATGCCCCAACCAGGACTAGAACCCGGGGTGCCCGCGCCGCAAGGTGGAGGATTAGCCAAGTGAGCCACAGCGCCAGCCCAGAGACTTTAATGTTGACAAAAACCTGCATGCCCATATCTGTAACTACAAAATGCAATTGCCCATGAAGGTCTTACTATTAATTAACATACAACCTGACTGAAACAATTATTCTTTCCTTGTGCGGCTTGTTACTTAAATACAGGTGTAGCAGTGTTCTCTCGTTATCTGTACCTCTCCGATCTTAGATGCTCTCCGAAGGAAGTGTAAGGGGAGAGGGCGACCCAGGCCAAAGTTTAAAACTCTGAGAATCTTCATTTCCATCTGTCTGATTTGGTGCTTAGTGTAGGTGTTGTTAGTCACAAAAGCAAAGTCACCAATTTCTGGAGGGTACATTTCTTCATATTTGCTTGCAATAAACATGGCAGTGACACCAACCAGCTGCAGCATCTTCTTGGGCACACAATTGTCCTGCAATGGGAATTGCAACTGCTGAGTAGGTAATGTGTTTGAAAAGGAGACACAAGAGCTGTGAAGCAGAGGTGGGCAAAGACATACACTCATCCCCTACTAAAAATCTCAATTATGACACCCTATGCCCCATGACAAATTTTAGCTGAAAAAGTCAGTTTCTTATGACTCTGCTAAGACCCTGAAGGGAGAACCCTCAATTAATGACTTATGCGCACCTGCATGAACCGATCAATTATGGAAACAGTCATGTACATGGTCTCCTGCAGCAGCCTGAACTTCATCTGAACCTGGACTAGCCAGTCGATTAGGATGGCCCTCATGTTTCCAGTGACTTCCCGACCCAGGAGGTATTTCGGTCTGACTGATTGCTCTTCCTGCAAAAGAAAATGCAGATTTACCCTCAAAAGCAAGACTCTCTGTGATACTTATATTTCAGAAAGAACCGTTAGTTACCACACAAAATTGCTCTGGGGGCATTTAGAACCCAAGTTTTCTTCTTTTTCTAAAGATTTATTTGAAAGAGTTAGAGAGGGAGAGACAGATTTTCCATCCATTGGTCATTCCTAAAATAGCCACAACAGCTTGAGGACCCAAGCCAGGAACTTCCATCCAGGTCTCCCAAATGGGTGGCAGGAGCCCAACACTTAGGCCACCTTCTGCTCCTTTCCCAGGTGCACTAACAAGGAGCTGGATCAGAAGTAGAGCAGCAGGGACTGGAACTGGGGCTCAAGGGGGATGCCAACATTGCAGGCAGTAGCTTAACCTGCTATACACAATGCTGGCCCCCCACTTTTATTTTTTAATAGAAAGCTTTTGTTTAATAAACATAAATTTCAAAAGTACAACTTTTGGATTATAGTGGCTCTTCCCCTCATATCACTCCCAAACTGTCCAATGTCCTACTCCCTCTCACATCCCATTCTTAATGAAGATTCATTTTAATTATCTTTATATACAGAAGATCAACTCTATAATGAGTAAAGATTTCAACAGTTTGCACCCACAGACACACAAAGTAAAAAGTACTATCTGTAGTTTTTGTTTTGTTTTTAATTTTTACAGGGAGTTAGACAGTGAGAGAGAGAGAGAGAGAGAGAAAGGTCTTCCTTCCGTTGGTTCACCCTCCAAATGGCCGCTACGGCCAGCGCGCTGTGCCGATCCGAAGCCAGGAGCCAGGTGCTTCCTCCTGGTCTCCCATGCAGGTACAGGGCCCAAGCACTTGGGCCATCCTCCACTGCATTCCCGGGGCCACAGCAGAGAGCTGGCCTGGAAGAGGAGCAACCGGGACAGAATCCGGTGTCCCAACCGGGACTAGAACCCGGGGTGCTGGTGCCGCAGGTGGAGGATTAGCCAAGTGAGCCACAGCGCCGGCCTGAAGATTAGTTTTACCATTAATTCTGATAGTACAACACATTAAGGACAGAGG